TCGGGCGTTCAATCTCCAAGAACAAGAGAGGTTGAAGCTAAAGGAGAAGGAGTTGAAGCTAAAGGAGCAGGAGGCTGAGATGAAAGTCATGCAAACCGACCCCGGGACGTTGTCGGAGTTTGGACGAATGATCTATGAGCAAAGAATGAGAGAGATCAAGAAGAAATATAATTTACCTTAGTTTTTTTTATTAATGTATCGTTTTTTAAATTATTGACGCTTTTTTTATTTAATGAATGTATTTTTTTATTATTCGTGTTTCAATTTAATTAAATAATAAATTAATTACATTTTATTAATTTAATTTTAGAAGATGTATATTTAAAAATGTAAAAAATGAAGGTTTGAAGCCCAGTTTTGAAGCCCCGGGGCTTCAAACCCATTTCCAGTGAATTTTGGGTGTAAGTTAAAGCTGACGTGGCAGAGAGAGAAAGTTTGAAGCCCCGATTTGAAGCCCCGGGGCTTCATAACCATTACCAGTGCTCTAAGAGAAAGGCTTTTAACGCCAAAAATTTGGGGAGTTGTGTACGACCTTACCCTATGCTCGGTATTAAAAACCATATCCCATTCCCTACCCACCGGCCTCTGCACAAAGACTAATTCTCCGGCAAAGAAAAGGAGATGGGTCATTAAAACCCCGAACCAATACCCATTTATTGCCGCCAACTACTTCTGCAGTAATCTCTGCATATAGCCATGGCTTATAAACCAATACAACCAAACCCAAACAAAGACATCCCAAACAAGGAAAAGAAATGGTGCCCTCCACCACCACCGCCGCCGCCACACCACCGGACGGGCTGATCTACGACGTGAGGCTGACGTCGGTGGGGCCCGGGAACGTGACGGGGCAGGACGTGGCGTACGAGCCGAGCAACGTGGACTTGGCGATGAAGCTGCACTACCTCAGAGGGGTGTACTACTTGGAGGGGCCGGCCTTCGAGGAGCTGACCGTCCTCAAGATCAAGGAGCCGTTGTTCACGCTCCTCAACCAGTACTACGTCGTGTGCGGGCGGCTGCGGAGGGCGGAGCCGCCCTCCAGCCGCCCGTACATCAAGTGCAACGACTGCGGCGTCAGGTTCATTGAGGCCTGTTGCCGCAAGACTCTGGATGAGTGGGGAGAGATCAAGGACGCCGCCCTCGAGAATCTCCTCACTCCTCGTGGAGTCATTGGCCCCGAGCTCTTCTTCTCTCCCCCCGTTTGGATTCAGGTGAGTTTTCCACTCCAAGCTAGCTGGTGTTGATTACCCATAACTAATTTTTAACTTATAAGTTATTCCCTCCGTCCTAAAATTAACTTTTCATTTGACTTTTCACGGTTTCCAATGTGACACTTTGACCATTAATATCTCCATTTTTATATGAATGTATATTATAAAAACAATATATTTCAAAACTATGTTTCAAAATGAATCTTTTGATAATAAATTTATATGAAAATTTAATACTCCCTCCGTCCCATAAAGTGTTACCCATTTTGACTAAAGTAGAAATTAAAGGAGGGATAATTTTGTGTTGACTTTCCAAAAATATCCTTGATGTGATGGGTAAAAGTAGGATGTGATGTGTAGATTATTAGGAAAAAGGTATGATGTGATAGGTAGGGTTTGAAAAAGTAAGGGGTAAAAGTGATTTTTTAATAGAAATGGGTAGGAGATTGTGGGACACAATTTTTTTGAAAGGTGTAAATCTTTTTGGGACGGAGGGAGTATATTTTTTCCGTAATATACAGTCAAAGTTTAAAAAGTTTGACTGCAAAAGTCAAAATGAGAAGTTAGTTTTAGGACGGAGGGAGTATATATTCTTTCGTGGTTTTACTGAAAAATAAATCATTTTGGAATATTCATAAATGCTAAAAGAAAATTTTGTACTCCGTAAAAAATTTAGTCGCAACAGAGAAAAAAAATTACTTAAAAATGAACACGTAAGACCTATTTATTTTTTGTAGATTATAAACGGCTTATAAGCAATTGGGCTTGTAAGGCAATTCACCAAATTGAACAATAAATTATGGATATACTATTTAGAGTTCGTTTGTTACACGAAATTGAATTGAAAAGTGATATTCTATAGAATCGATTTGTATAGAATTGAGTTCTTCAATTTCAATTATTTTTGACATTACCAATTTCGAATCCAGATATTTTTGTGCTACCAAAGAATAGAATTGAAATTGTTGTCTCCAATTCCGTTTGAATTATGTGTACCAAAGAGAGTCATAGTGTCTTTATGTGTGCTTGAAATTGTGCAGTTAACAAAATTTAAGTGTGGTGGAGTGTCATTGGGCTTGTGTTGGGCCCATATTCTAGGGGATGTATCATCCGCCGTAAAATTCATGAACATGTTTGGAAAAGTCATCGGCGGCCTCAAACTTGAACCGCCCGTTTCCGTGGCCCATTCCCTCCACAAAGCAACGGCCCATCAAGACTCTGCAAACGCAGTGGTAGGCCCACTGTCGATCAAGAAAGTGAGCCCACCGGTTGGAGACCATTGGATCATCGCCAACAATTCCACAATGCAGTCTTTATCATTCTACGTGTCACCATCACAACTGGGCCACATGAAGTCCGTTATAGGAGGAGACTACGGCCCGTTCGAGTTGATATCGTCGATCTTATGGCGGGCCGTGGGCCGGCACAGAAAGGGGCCCGAGCCCAGAGTTGTGACGGTTTGCAAGAAAGGCCCAGAGACCCGGGAAGACAGTCACGTGAGCAACAGCCAACTGATCAGCACCGTGAGAGTCGGCGACGATTTCTCCGCCGTCGGCGAAGCGGATCTCTCGGAGTTGGCGCGGCTGGTGAAACACGGCGGCGGCGGGGAGGAGCTGGGGAAGATCGACGAGGCGGTAGAAAGAGAGGGCGGAAACATTGACGTCGTCCTCTACGGTGCGAAATTAACCCTGGTTAACATGGAGGATGTTGAATTCTATGAGTTCGAGTGGAGAGGACACAAGCCAATCGGCGTGAGCTACCAGATCGACGGCGTCGGGGATGAGGGCTGCGTTTTGGTGCTCCCCGGGCCATGCGGCGGCGGCGACGGAGAGGGAAGGGTTGTTAGGGTGGTTTTGCCGGAGGATGAGGTGGTGGAATTGAAATCAGAGCTCAGAAAGGAATGGTCAATTATGAATGATTGATTGAATTTGAACGCGTTAGGCGATGCTAAAATGGAGTTTCTTCTAATAGTGTGGGCGCATTGAATTCATGAATTGTTCTTTCAATGTCTCACCAACTATGCTTTGTTTTTACTTCAATTCAATTTGAACAAGTGGTTGTTTATTTGAAAAATAATTTTATTCCCAACATACATTTGTTTGTTGGATGAAATTATGATTAATCTCTACTTAAGAGTCTACGACGATGTGACAGGAGTAAACAGATATTAATCGGATTGAATGTGTCATTACCAAATTCGTATCCGCTTATTTTTATTGGATATCTAATTCTGATACACATCTTGACGGATATTGAAAACAAAACTGTATTCGAATTGGTCGGATATTAGATATATCTGTATCCATTTCTAATTTTTAAAGTTATATATTTAAAAGTACTTTAATTTCCAATTAAATTAAAGTCAAAATATGATACATTCAATTGTAATTTGTTACAGAGTTTTTTTTTTTCTTTTTTTATAATTTATAATATTCTACAACAACTTCATATTGTAAAACGATATATACACAATACACATATACACATATTTTTATGTGTCAACATATATTTTTATGTGTCTACGCATATATTTTGCATATAAAATATTTTATACTTTGAGATGTCATTAGAAAAACAAGATATAATAATAAAAAATTAGGAAAAATTATACGGAGTATATAACGGATTGGATATACAGATAAGCGGTTACTTAAATGGATGTCTATGCAGAGCGGATTATAAACGGATTGAATGTATGATTACCAAATCTGCATCCGTTTACCAATCAAATATTCTTAATCAGATCCGGATAGTAACCACTTTTAATGGAAACAGATATTTTCCATATAAACGGATACGGATGCAGACGATAATTGAAGTTTCGGTTATCCATTTACAGCCCTAGATATGAAGGAATATTTGTGTACTTTCATTTTTTTTGGATAAAATTAGTAAATTTTGATCCCAAATTAAATAAAAATAATATTTGATATTGATAAAAAATAATTTTATTAGATTTATTATATAAAATATTTTCAAAATATTATTTCATCTAATTAATATACAATATATATTTTATATAATTATAGATCAAAGGTTAAAACGATTGACTGAAAAAAATCAAAACTCGACAAATATTCTAAGACGAAGGTAATATTAGTGTATGGGCAAAACGAAAATCAACATAATACATTTGCATTTTCAGTGATCCATGTTAGCATATGATTAATATTCTCGAGTAATCTTTATTTATCGTTAAATCATAGAAAAGTTATATTCCTGTCATATAAACTCTTTCATGTTTTGACTTTTTTAATCAAGAGTGATTCTCTTTCAACACAAATTATGAAAGTAATATATTCCTTCTGTCTCAGATTATTTGTCTATTTTTCACTTTTTTAGGTCAAAATTGACAAAGTTTGATCTTAGATTAATCAAAAATGATACTCCGTATTAGATATCGATACAGAAATTTTTTTATTAGATTTATTTCGTAAAATATTTTCAAAATGTTTTTTATATAATTAATATAACATACATATTTTATTTAATTATATGTCAAAGATTGAAAATAGTTGACTAAAAAAGTTAAAAATGAACAAATACTCTGAAACGGATGTAGTATTTAGTTATGACATAAATTCAATATAACTAAGTTCATGTTAGAATATAGTTTTGATCTATCAGATTTTTATACTATTTATATATTTAAAATATATTTAATTTATGATCAATGAATTTTATTTTTTTGACCAGAAAAGTCAAAACATGAAACAGTTCATGAAATAGAGGGAGTATTTGTGTAGGAGCAGAATAAAGATGCACAACATATAATTGCATTTCCAGAGACCCACGTTAGCATATGTTAGCATTTCATTAATAACTCTTTGATTAATCTTTACTTACGAGCATGTGATAGAAAAGTTGTGCTTGTGGAATAAAGATCCACAACATATATATATATATATATATATATATATATATATATATATATATATATAATTGGAGTTGTAGTGATCCATGTTAGCATTTGATTAGAAAAGGAAAAAATTGTCAAAAAAGGCACAACTTTTGGACACAACCTTAGTTCTTTATCAATCAAATACAATGTATCTAAAATATACACATACCAAATATTTTTTTTAGTCGAGATCTCTTAGAAATAGCCTCTCTACATCCTCATAAAGTTGGTGTAAAGACACGGGGTCTTGTGGGATTTTAGTGTTATTGTTTTATTTACTTATTTGAAAATAGGCCTCTTATTGTTCTTGTTGTATAGACTATACACATAATCACTAGTAAATTCGCTAAGACTCCGTTTGGTACACGAAATTCAAGCTATGAATTGGAATTGAAGGATTCAATTTCATCCAAATCAATTCCATAGAATTTCAACTCCCAATTCAATTCCAATTCCGTGTACGAAACGGGCCCTAAACATAAACTTAATTTTAAGATTAGGAAGGTGATGATGCTTCACGCCTTTGGCTGCGCATTGTTGCTCCCCAAGATCCATTGGACTCGTCTTTACACATGCTTCTTCTCTTTAGTTCTGAAAGCTGGGACTGCCACCTATTTCTCCATTCACTTTTTTCTTCCATTGCCTAAACTAAGAGAAAAAAAATGATCTTTGTATCAGAAAGAGGAAATGAGAGAATTGGACACACATAAAAAGGTTTAACGTTAACCCATTAGTACGAGAGTTATTAGAAAGTGCCAAAAAATAAATCCGTGAGACTTTGGTCCAAAGCGGACAATATCATAGTGATGCAGGGTTGGGGTGAGATACGCGCAATCCCAACAGGGTGAGTATTGTAGGAATTATCCCAAGCTTGGTGAATGCTTTGAAAAGCACAAAATGTATGAAAGCTGAAAGGTGTGTTGGCAAAGACAGAGAGCCTGCAACAACCTATAATGCCGGAAACCATTTTCAACCACAAGCTTTTGGAGCGTTTAGCTCAGCATCTATGGCAGTTGGCATTGTCACCCTTGATGAAGATGGGCGCGCTTATCCAGATGATAAAGCGTGTGTCGGTGAGGCTGGTTTGTTTAATTCCTATCAAGGTTGGAGCTAGTGAGAGGCTACTGAATGCCGATCACGAAAAAAGCATTACTTTGAAGAATTGTTGGTGTGGTAATAAGTTGATCGAAGTAGTGTGCATTTGTAAACTGGCAAACAAATACGTGGTCGACACACTCGTTATCGTGTCACCGGCAAACAGTCAACCCGAAGGTGAAGACAATTTTGAAGAATATGTCCATACAAGCAGTTTCAATCCTTAGTTCAATGCTAATAAGGATTGTAACATTTCAACTAAGACCGAATGTTTGAATTCAAATTACAATTACATGTCAAACTAGCCCCTGAGCATCATAATTTTATTTAAAACTAGGTGGCTGTGAGTTTCCTCTTGGTCACCAAGATTCTAATACCATGTCAAATTAAAAAACCAACTCAACCAAAAACTAATGTTTGCAGTTGAGGCCCCTAATATTTGTCAACTTTTGATTCTTTTGCAGTAAAAAATGATAAACTTTGACTATTAATTAAATAAAATCTAAATTACACATTTATACACGAATAGTTTTATTAGATTTATCTTGTAAAATATTTTTTCAAAACATAATTTTTTATCTTTTCAATATACTACATTCGTCCCTGAGTATTTTTCCGATTTTGAGTATATTATATACAGTATTAATTAGATAAAATAATATTATTCGTAAATTTGTCTGATTTTGAATATATTGTATATTAACGAGATAAAATAATATTTTGAAAAATATTTCATACAATAAAACTAGTGCAACAAGTTTTGTATCAATATCGATTGTCATTTTTATTTAATTTACGGTCAAAAATTTCCAATTTTGATGGAAAAAAGTAGACAATTAATCAGGCATTCAGGCACCTAGGGAGTTGGAAGGATGGAGCATTCGAATAGAAAAACAAACCACACACCTCAACTCCACAGTAACGCCGACGAGCGGAGAGGGCGAAGTTGAGACCTTTGGCCATGTCTCTATCATACAGAGCTCTCCTCGCGGGATCCGACAGCGTCTCGTATGCCTCCTGGACCCGAATGAATCTCCGGGTGTGGTCGTCGACCCGGTCCGGCGGCGAGACATCCGGGTGATACTTCCGGGCCAGCTGCTTGTACGCGTGCTTGACGTCGGAGAGAGACCCCGTCTCGGGAATTCCGAGGAGGTCGTAGAAGGAAGACGGCTTGGATTGGACTCTGATGGATGCGGCGATCCGGAGCTTCGGAAACGGGTCGGGTTGGAACTGGGAGCTGGAAGGAGGGCGAAGAAGGGAGATTGTTGGGAGGTCGATTCTTGACGGTGTTAAGCCGTAGGTGGCGCAGCGCATCTCTGGCTCTTTGTTCAGAAACGGAGGATACACAATTTACGCAACTACTCGTATCAAGTGCGCCGCCCAAGGGACAACCTGATCACGTTTGTTAGGTTTGTTTGGTCAAATTGTTTAGTTGGGTAGTTTGTTTTTGTGGAAAAATTACCCAAAATAATCCCAACTTTATCCGGTCTTTTTTCACAAATAATTTCACCTTTCACTGTGATGCATAATAATCCCAACTTTACTGAAATTTGTCAGTTTTGGATCGCCGTTAAGTTTCTAACGGGGGTTAACGGAAATGCCCGTTTAGGCAACAAAATGAAAGTTGGAATTATTTTTGATGAATTTTTGTTTTTTAATTTTTTTTTGAAATTTTTATTTAAATTTTTTGAATTACTTTCAACCACCATTTCTTTTTCTTTTTTAAAGATTATTCTTACCTTAGAAAAAATAGATATAAAAAATAATGAAAATAAAAAAAATAACTAAAACTATACAAAATTAATCAAATAAATAACACAATCAATAGAAATTAAATAGAAACTGGTAAGAAATAAAATAAATATATACGAAGTGGTGGGTTTTAACATTTTACACACTAAACGGAGTCTTAATGTACTACTTATTTTTTAAAAGAACAAGCCGTCCGGTAAAGTTGGAATTATTGTAGAAATTCTTTTCTAAAAAATAAGAAGTGATATGTTAATACTTTGTATAATGCGTAAAATATTAAAACCCACCCGTATATTTTTATTTTACTTTTACTAATTTAAAGTTAGTTTCCATTGATTACCCTATTTATTTTATTATTTTTGTATCATTTTAGTTACGTTTCTCATTTTTTCATTTTTTATATCTATTATTTTTATTTTTTAAACTAAGACTAATCTTTAAAAAAGGAAAAAGAAATGATGATGGAGGTAGAAAGTAATTTAAAAAATTTAAATGAAAAATTATAAAAAAAAATAAAAAAATGAAAATTCATCAAAAACAATCTCAGCTTTCATTTTGTTGCCTAAAACGGGCATTTCCGTTAACCCCCGTTAGAAACTTAACGGCAACCCAAAACTGGCAAATTTTGGTAAAGTTGGGATTATTATGCATCACAGTGAAAGGTGGATTATTTTTGAAAGACCGGGTAAAGTTGAGATTATTTTGGGTAATTTTTCCTTTTTTTGGTAAAATAAATTATACGGGGTATAAAAGAAACAAACTACAATAATATATTGATATTCCCTCTCCCTTCTTAAAAGAATGTCTTTCTTTTTCAACAATCGCGTGAACTTTTGTTTATTTGTACGTTTTCTAGATCCGATCATAATCGCGGGTGCCCGACGCGTCAAACTGTAGCCAGTTACCGCCACAGAAGAATCACAGCGCAGACCGGACTGTACCAAGGTATCGTACCGAACAGTGTCCAACCCTTCATTTGTTTGTTTGTTCCGATTCGAGTTTTAGATTGACTTCGAGACCTTGTATGTTCGATGACGGTACGTGAAAGGTATTTACACTCGATACTAGGCCACTATTTGTATTGTATGATAAGTATTTAATTGTTGTTATACTCTTTTTATATTTTAAGTGTAATTTTGATATGCCTTGAACAAATATAGTGAATTGAGATTGTTGTTGGAATACATCTTAGAATGAAGAATTGTTACAAATAAATGATTAGGCTGCTTGAAAGAACTCTAATACTAGATTGTAAGTATAAATGCCAATAGGTAGAATCGACCTTGAAAATCTGATGGATGCGGGTTAAAACGCACGTAGGGATCCACAAACTATCATTTCGAGAGGGCAGGGGTACCACCCACCTAGCGGAGAACACCTTTGTTGGTAAAGTCGTGTTGTAATGTGTTGTGTCAGTTGTTAAAATAGCTTTAGCCTAAAATAGTTTATGAGCGAGTGTTAGAGACGAAATTACATAAAGACAAGAATGTTGAATTGATAACGCCCCAAAATATACCCTAAAATTATTACTGAATAATGATTCAATTAATCAAATTTGTTTTGATTAAAATAAATTATTATTGGGCTTTGTGCCGAAATAAAATATGTTTTGATATCTAATATCACAATCTGAATAAATCTTATAGAGATAAATCCAATATGTAAACTTTATGTGTGATCTTGATTGGGAACCAGAGTACATACCCTAGTTAAGAATAAATAAAGAATTTGTTTATAATGCGAACTTTGAAATGATTTATTGAAATAAATTACGAGAATAGTTAATATGAATTAAATGCGAGAACCTTTTTGAGTAAAAGTTAATTAAATTAATTTTGATTCTATCAAAATCAAATACCCAAAAATAAGATGTCAGAAAAAGTACTAGAAATAAATATAAAAATTATATCATTTGATAGAGTTTTACTGTCAGATGTCAACAGTGCAAATAGATTTTAATTCGGAGAAAGTTGGACCAAAAAGTTTACCCCGATTGGAACCATATTTATCCCAATCAAGAAATGGCGGGAAAGTCCTACGAATCGGCAGTCCTGCGCACTACGCCGATCAAACGATTTGTGAAGGAGACATCTCTGACTTCTTCTTCATCACAACTACTATATAGGCCCACCTCACCTCCATTTCTTCACCATTCTTCACAATTCTACGTTCTATTCTGTTGCTCTAAGTAAGGTAAACGTAGTGGTGCTGTCAATTTGGTGAGAGGTCGCTGGAGTTGGGAGTAATCGTCGTTGGAAGTTTTGTTGGAAAATTTCCAAGACCTCCGTTTAAGCCTGAGGTAATCGCGTATATATTTCTAATGACTAGAATATTTGTATAGATCATTTCTACGTTCATAAATGGTGAGTTTTGTGTTTGATATGTTTGAAAACCAAGAATCATAAACCTTGAAATTATTCTTAGAACTAAAACTAATGTTACCAAAATGATCTATGAAGTTTGGAGAACATTTCTATATATTTTAATTGAAATTTGGTGGCTTAAAATGACAATTCAGAAAATTGGCACAAGGTTGAAGATGACACTGTTCAAAACTACGCGCAGTACGGTATCACCCTACCGTCAACACAATAGGCTATACCGTGACCACGGTAGGCCGCCTCCCGTCGGCTTCTACTCTACAAGTAGTGGCTAGTGGCAGTCAGTACCGAGGTACCGTGCTACGGTACCGGGGTACCGTACCGGGTACCATCCATAACCTAATATTTTCCCGAACCCCAATTTTTGAATTATTAAATCCTATTTTTGATACCAATTAATTATGATTAATATAAAGATTATTTCTAAGAAAAAAGATGTTTTTGACTAATAAAATCTTATGTGATTTATGACGGTAAGCTAGGGTGTTCAACGTTAGGCTAATATTTTATAATGAATATTATTAATTGATGATTATGATGATTAAACCTTGATGAGTATTCTGATTAGAATGATAATTATGAATAATTGAACCATGATTTAAAAATAAATATATATATTGATGATTATGAAAATGGTGTGTATTGTTAAATGCATCTAGAAAAATTTCAAGATATTTTAATATGATCTGTTTAGTTGAATTGTTATTGAATTTTAAGACTATCTTGAAGAATTCTAAGATAGGCCTCAAATTAGAATAAGTCTTGCAAACATAAAAATGTAAGCATTCCTTTGTCAGGTTTCTGGATTGTACCTTAAGGGAAGGTTAATTTAAGAGTTGGGAAACCTTTTTAAAAATTTGCACATTAAACTAAGCATAACTTAAGAGTTGGTTAGGAGTACCTTAAACTAGAATATAGTTTAAGAGTTGATTAGAAGTACATTAAACTAGAATTAGTTTAAGAATTGGTAAATATTAAATTGGCCTTAGACTAAAAATAGTTTATGAGTATTATTGACACTATGAATGTTGAATATGAACATTGAGTGTTGAATATTGAATAATGAATATTGAATATTGATGTGCATCATATCAAATGACTTGAGTATGAATTGAGACTTAATTTATACTGATGTTCAACGCATTAGATATTCTTACTCAACTTCAATGCTGAGCGTGTAGTATGTTTTATTTTCTACACGCATGTAAACAAAAAGAATGAAGTGATGAATTCTTAGGGGCAAATGGAGCGAGATGGTCGGGATGGATGTGTAAATCTGAATTACTGTTCTAAAAGACATAAATTTATTGTGTTTGCAATAGTTACGGAGTATTTGTTAAGCTTCCGCAACTTTAAATAATCCGTTATTATTCTAATTACTTTATCCTGAAATAAAATTTTAAATTGTTTGAAATATTTTGAATGTTTACAATTACCAAGTTAATACTTTATTCCGAAAGGGGTTGCAGACCTGGACAGATTAGGGTGTTACACAGCCAAATAAACAAGGTAAGTAACATTATGTGTGATTGATATGATATTGTTGATATTATTTGATGATGTTATGTGATGTTACTTGTGCATGAAATTCTATGAGTGATTATGTATGTTGAAATAACCCTATGTGTGACTTCTACTATTAGAACCTCTCACTCAAAATGAAAGTTGAGCGTATAATTTGTTTTACTTGCTACAAGTAGGTAACAAAAATGATGTAAAAGGACACAATCCCGGAGGGCATCAAGGATGAAGAGATGGATGTATGCTGGCTGAGGTAGTTTATTTAGATTAGTGTTATATTGAATTTAATATGTTTTCGGACAAAGAACCCAAAGCTCTGTTTGAATTATGTTCTTAAGTTTTCGCACAATTTTTGTTTACTTCGATGGATATATATAATAATTATTTTTGAATTAAATGTATTAATGTGTTTTAAAAATTATTGTGTTTGGATGACAATCATGTGACATCCCGATTCACTAGTTCGTGTATTCGGGTTACTCGAATTGGGATGTTACACAAACAATGTGATGGTGTCCAACAAAATCAAGTTATTGGCTTGCTTACAATCCTCACTTGCTACCTACTTTACGCTTCGAAAAACTTTGCCCTCTGCATTGTTCACATCAACCAAGTTATTTAGTAGTGTATAAAACTCTTAAAAAGTATGATCTCGCAAGTAGACATTTGCAACATTTTCGTGCTTAAGATCATCAATTGCTTCCTCGAAGCTAGATTTCTCGTTTCCCTCATCCATGACTTCAAATGCACTTTCACATCATCTCTAACATGTGATTCATCGTTTGGTCCCTTTGAATCACGAGCATTCTTTACATCAAGAATGGAGTGTGTGACTGTTTCTTTCAACATTGGGATAAACATGTCTTTGACCTTTGTTTGTGTCTTCTCAATTAGAGCATAATCTACGAAATGAAAATTATGAAAAGGAGCAAATAAATCGAATTTTGAACTTCTTGACAAAATCATCCCGGCCATCTATGAGAATGTTGTTCGAACGCCAGCGGAACAACTCAGCAGCAAAGTCCTCTAACATCAACGCCACATGATGCAAGGGATAATTTAAATGGATCCCATAAAATTCAAAATACTCATACGCCTGTTTTTTATCTTATCCGAACCGTTCCAATCCGTGCATATCCTTATTCTTATCTTATTAGAATCAATTCAATCCATTTACAATGCATTCAAATCATGTTAGGCCCAATAAAAAGAATCAAATTGAATACTATACATGTCATTTAGTATTAGCATTTTGAAAAAACTATACAGGAGCAATACTTATTGTTAGCGTTTTCAAAATTAATCCGTATTATTAAAATTTTATCCAAAACACTAACAATAATAAAATATGTTATTTTTAAACAAGTCTTGAATCATAATAAATCCCATTAAATCCAATCAAATTATACCAAATAAAATATAGTATACTGGAGTAGTAAATACTCGGTACCTCTTATATCAGATTTTATTAGAAATACAAATGAGATAGAAACCACCCTTCCCGTTAAAAACCAAATGCCCGTTCACTCTTGTTTCGGGCAATCGAAGTGATTTCTTACATTAGGGTTTGAGCAACGGCGATTTGCTCGTGCGTTTTACATGGCGGATCGAATCAGCAATTCGGCGCCGGCGGTGAAGCCGATATGGGCGAAACAAGCCGAGGAGGCCAAGTTGAAGAGCGAAGCGGAGAAGACGGCCGCCGCAAAGGCTGCCTTCGAGGCTACCTTCAAGAACGTCGACTCCTCAACCATAACTGCTCCTGCAGCTTCGGACAGCGACTACGAGGACGAGGAGGACGAGGAGAGGCTTGCCAGGAAGCCGATCGGACCTTTGGATCCCAACAAGTGCACGGCGGCTGGCCCTGGCATTGGTGGAGGGGCAGCCTGCTCGCCCTCCACTTTTACGGTGGTTACTAAGGATGCCGACGGCCGAAAATTGCCTCATGGTGGGGCGCTTGTTAAGGTTAAGGTTGCTCCTGGAGTAGGAGTTGGCTGCTCCGAACAGGAAGGGATTGTTAAAGATATGAATGATGGGAGCTATAGTGTTACCTATGTGGTTCCCAGCAAAGGAAATTACATGGTTAACGTGGAGTGCAATGGCAAGCCAATCATGGGTAGTCCTTTTCCCGTTTTCTTCAGCGCGGGTACCTCTCTCACTTATATCTTTTTATCATTATCCATAGATGTAAATATGTTTAACTACTTTTAGAGTTGTAATCTTTGACGGTCATTTGTGAATTTTGGGTTTTTGGAAGTTTAAACATTTATTATTTCGAATGGAAATTGGGAATTTGTGCGAGATTAGCAGCTTCAGAGTGATATGTAATGTCAAATGTAATTCACTGGGAATGGCACAAAGTTCAGTTAAAATTTGAAACTTCTATTTATCTTTTGGGGCATGTTGGGTAGTGTTTGGGGTGTTTATGAAGGGTGAAGATAATCAGCAATTAAAATTTGAGAGTTTGACTCCCTAAGTTTTGACATAACAATTCCAATTCAATTTACATCATAAGTGACCACAAGAATTCTCTGGAAATTTCATATCCAAATTATCACTTATTTATCAATACAATCATTTTCTAGCAGTTGAATGTGATAAATTTGGTCAAATGTTAAATTTAAAATATTAGTTTTTGCTAGAGTTATTCTAAGGTATAAATGTAACCATTCCCCAGCGGAGACATATATGACCGCTACTTATATTCAAATTGTTCACTAAATGGAAGTTGTGTGTTGAGTAAACACAAATGAGTGCTTACTAACAAGAAACCAGTTGCTCACCAGTTCATGGATCAGGTGCAACATTCTCGTATCTCTATGGTTGTAGGCCGTTTTCGTAATGTGTCCATTAGGAATATAATAACAGGTATTTGTATGGCCATAACATGTTTTTTTAATTAGTTGCATTGAATGATTGTTCCCTTTTTCACGAATCCTTTAGAATGCATTAAATTTATTTGTCTAGTAATTAATAGCTCCTTTTGTAAGGAATAAAATGGTCCAAGTGATTGAATTAGCTGAGTCTACTCAAGTTGTGGCTGAAACAAAGTTGGATGAATGGTGGGATGGTTATCTAAAATATTCATTTAATTATTTATAACATATGAAAGAAAAACATAATTAAAATTGAAGTTGAAATATCATTTTCCTTCAGCCTTAGAGTAATTCTTGTTCTACTCTTTACATTATTATTAGCCGATTCAGCCATTACATTGAAATAAGTTAGAGCCAATTCAACCACTACAACGAAAGCAGTGAAATAAGTTTGAGCTAATTCAACCAGCGTGGATGCACGGTGGAATGCTCCAGAACCTGCTTAATAAGTATTATTTGGCTGGAATTTTATGTTTGGTGAAAATACTGGTTCATGAAATGGATAAATCTATGAAACAATGCCTATCAAACAGGAACTGAGGTTCTAACTCACAAACCCACTCCTCCCCATACTCTCATTTGCTTTTAAAGATGCCAGCTCTGCGTGGAGTTTTTCTTTTGTATGCATTTACTTGTATTTTCATTGGAATGAAGTGACAGTTTTGCAATTTCATCTCACTTTCCTTTTTAAGATGGGCATCATGCGTCAAACTATGCTTCTATCAGTTTATGCACAGATTTATAGTGTCCATTGTAACAAAATTTATTAACACTTAACCCTAAAAAAACAACTCTATAAATTTCAATATTTCTTGCCACCAACCCCAATCAACTGGGATTAAGGCCATGGTGGTTATGATGCCTGTATCTGTATGCTTTTAATGTCAACTGAGTCTTGAATTTTGAATGAATACTTTTTGTGCATAAGTGGTGGGCCTTTACTCACATCCTGCAGTTATGTTTTTCACAAAACACACAAATGTCCCTCTCTCTCCCCAAAGAAATCTTGATTTTTCTGGAACAGAATTGAAGTGGGCATTCTTCTCATAATGAAAAGCATACTTACCATTTACCAAGTCCAGAAATAAAGTAATGGTAATTGGTAAGTGCAAACACTATTTTTTAATCTTAACACATAAATTTGGAAACACCACAATACCCGGATGTGAGAAACTCGGGTACATGCTAGTCTTCATTAGCAATCATTCTAGTTTCTCCCGGGCCTTTCTCAATATACCAATTTTCACCATCCCCATCCAACCTCAAGAAATGCGTTAAAAGCCATCCCCAGTTATCTAACACATCATGCATGCACATTCTGAAGTCCTAAACTATACCTAGATCTCTCTATACAACCATTATTATTACCTACAGCAATTGCTTCCAGTTATCTCCACATTCCCACTGCAGCCACAAATACCCACTCCTCTTTCCCACATACTTATACCTAGCTTCCATAAAATTACATGAAGATTTTCAACATGTAATGAAATCTCCCCCTCCCCCTCAAAGTAACAATAATAATAGTAGTAGTACTGGAGTAAGAGAATGGATTGTATTTTGCAACAAAACTGTTTTGAATAATTCCTTTACTACTTTGGCATGTGGATGTAAGTTTCACTTTCAATTCTCAAGCACCAAGTTTCAAGTGATACTTACTTTTTACATTAATTACTTATTATTGTATAATTTTTGGGATTAAATTATTCGCAAGTGACAATGCACTGCATGTGGATTTAAGTTTTCTTTCTTCTTTATATCAGGTATAACTACTGGAGGGCTATTGGGTGTTGCCCCACCAACAACATATTCAAATATGGTTAATCAAACAATGCCAAATATGCCAAATTATTCTGGTTCTGTCTCCGGGGCAGTCCCTGGGTTGCTTGGGATGATTCCTGGTATAACTCAAGGAGCATTGGGAGGGGTCATTTTACCCGGAGTTGGCTTTTCTCTTGGGGAAGTTTGTCGTGAATATCTTTACGGGCAATGTGTGAAAACTGATTGTAAGTTCAAGCATCCCCCTCACAATCTTCTAATGACAGCCTTAGCTGCCACTACCAGTATGGGAACACTTAGCCATGTTCCTATGGCACCTTCTGCTGCTGCAATGGCTGCTGCTCAGGCAATTGTTGCTGCACAAGCACTTCAAGCTCATGCTGCCCAGGCACAAGCTCAATCGAACTCTACAAATGACACTTCAGGTACTGTCCAGTGTTCACTTTGTGCATTTTAATTATATCAGGGTTTCTACATCTAAAAACAATTCAACTCATTTCAACTTGATTTATTTTTTTACATAGATCAATATTGCAATGATGCAAATGGGAGATGGTGTTATTTTTTCCTTTTGAAGTATTGTAATATTTTATTTTATTTTTCCTTTACTGGATCAGTTTTTGACGTGGCATAGAAGTGTAGATTTGCATAAATAGATGCTAAGTTTCTAACACTTCACGATGTTAACGGGTCCATTTGGGAATAATGTTTGTAATTAGGGTTGGAGAATTTTTTATTTTTTTTAATTGTGCAAAATTACAAACGCTTAAACAAGAGTCTACTGATAGCTTTTCCAAAGCATTAATGCTAAGCGCAGAAGCTAATACCAAAGGGACTCAACATCTGTTTTCACATTTCTTTTCTATTAAAAGAAGTCTTTTCTATATTAATTACTTTGTTTATATGTATTTAATATTGCATTTTATAACTGCATCTACTGTTGGTTCACATTAGGATCTGATGAGAAAGAGAGAAATGCCAATATTCTTAAGAAAACTGTGCAAGCTAGCAACCTCAGTCCACTTCTAACAGTGGATCAGTTGAAGCAACTCTTTGGGTTTTCAGGAATAATTGTTGAATGTAGCATTACTGAGTCAAAGCACTTAGCTTACATAGAATACTCAAAGCCAGAGGAAGCAACTGCTGCTTTAGCATTGAACAATATGGAAGTTGGTGGTCGGCCTTTGAATGTTGAAATGGCTAAACAACTCCCTCCAAAACCAGCCTATTTAAATTCCTCTACCACATCATCTTCTTTGCCCTTAATGATGCAGCAAGCTGTTGCCATGCAACAGATGCAATTTCAGCAAGCTCTGCTAGTGCAACAAGCATATACTGCTCAACAGGCTGCTAGCCGAGCTGCAAGCATGAAGAGTGCTACTGATCTTGCAGCTGCCAGAGCTGCAGAAATAAGTAAACAACTAAAAGCTGATGGATTTGTCACTGAAAGCAAGGAAACAAATGAAAAATCCAAGTATGTTTCCGGTTGTTTCTTCAAACCATGCGGTCAGCTTGATTACCATTTTATCCCAAGATATCATGCTTCTCTTGCATGTCATCTTTTCCAATTGAAACAGATTTATTTTCTCGTTTTAAGAAAAGTTAGTGTTATTTGGATCTTCAAATTATCAAGTAAATTTACTCCTTCAATACATGGGAAAGTTGCTTTTATACCAACATTATTAGTGTTTGTATCTACGCAAAGGTCAGGATAAATGCTTGCACTATTATTTCTGAGGATCGTTAATTAATTATCATTTCTCAAGTCTCAATAAGGTAGTTAGGTTATGTTCTCCTCAACTTATTATTTTTACGTATTACTTATTCTTATTGGAATCAGAGCGGATTAGAAGTAGCTTAAATATAACTACATTCATATTAGACAAGATCATATTAGAACTTATTCCAATCAAATCAGAACCAATTAGATCATGTGAAGAGAATATGGCCTTAGAGAGGCAGAAACATGTGTCTATAAGAATGTAATGAATCAATTTAGGAAAGTGATTTTCTGCAGAAGTGACAAATATTCATCTTGCATAAATTTCTGTTTTTTCATTATGTTCTTGTTCCATAGATTCCCATTTTTTCTTGGATTTACTGTATTTTCTGTGATAATTGACAATTCATAGGTCACCACCTAATCCTCGAGGAAGGTCAAAGTCCAGGTCCAGGTCAAGATCCAAATCCAACTCTCCCATCAGTTATAGACGAAGGCCAAGGTCACGTTCCTTTTCCCCTCCACGAAGATGGTTAAGAGGGTATAGATCCAGATCACCAATAAGATCCCACCATTATTCAAGATATGAGGATGAGCGTCGATCATATAGGGATAGTAGGCATGCCAGTGACAGAAGTAGAAGGTGGAACTCTGGTAGATTATATGACCGCGGGTCTCCTGTTTCAAGGAGAAATAGAAGTAGGAGTGCAAGCCCTCGAGCTAGAAGGACATATATAGATGATTCAGACTCGCCCAAACGCCATCATAAGAGTCCAAGACATAAGACACGCTCTTCTCGTGCTGTGTCTACTTCTCCAGAACATCGAAGGAATAAGTCATCCCTGAAGAATGGTGAAAGTAAATCAAGACATAGACAATTATCAAGGTCAAATTCTGTGGAACATTCACCCAGCGATAAAGTTGATGATGAAAAACATGGAAAATCAAAGGACAGGAAGAGGAGACACTCAAGGTCAGTCTCACCACAGGTTGAGCTGGATAGGAAAAAGAGTGCGTCCTCTAAAATCCTTGATGCAAGCAAATCAAAGGAAAAGAGAGAATCGAGGTCCAGATCACCAGAGGCAAATCATCGTTCTAATAGAAACAGAGAGGATAAAGCTAGAACTATTGATGATATAAGGTACTCCAGGTCGAGGTCTAGATCCCCTGAAAGAAAACATTATACAAGTGAAAAATTAGACAGAAACAAAGATAAATCTAAGCATCGCTCTAGAAAGCATTCCAGATCAAGGTCTAAATCTCCCACTGAGAAACACCACTCAAGTAGTAAATATGACAAGAGTAGGGAAGAGAAGTCTAGTCGTCATCTGAGAAGGCGGTCTAGATCTAAGTCTGCTGAAGTTAAGCGAGAAAGAAGTAGAAGGAAGTCTCCAAGGCATTCAGATCAACACAAATCAAGGCATCAAAAGCGCTCTAGATCTAGATCTCTAGAAAGTAAACATGAACATGAGCATGATGATTTGGATATGGGTAATCATGAACTCACAAACCATGTTAACGAAAAGCCTATGAAGTTGATCTTGGAAGATGAGCTGCCTAGTTCTGATTCAATGGAGCTGGATATTGATAATGTTCATCGTGGGGATCAGAATGAGAGTGAGAAACCAGAGAGCAGTGTCTTTAAAGGAGTTGATTTAACCATCAGGGAACAAGATCATACTGATAAACAATCTAGTGTTGATGCATAGATGCATGCGATTGAGAGTTTATCCTGTTCGACATTAATTCAAGGCTTTATGATTCATTTCGATAGGGAGGGCCATCTTAAGCGTTACAAGACAGAAAATCAAGTTGAAGCTTAGGATTGAGGAACCAGATGCCAATATGTTCAATGGGAGGACTCTCTTACGTGGCGTAGTGGTCATTTTTGATTACTCGCTGTTCGTGTGACAAATTCGATGTGTTTGCTTTCTGTTGCAGGTGGTGGAAGCAATTGGAGTCTGGTGAGGCAATGCTTGTTGGAATGTTCACTCATTGTCTTTGAATGATATGTGATCAACTGTGCAATGTGTTTTAGCAATCTACTTTGTGAGCATGCAGTTTTGCAGCTTGCTCTATGGTGGGAAATTACCTCTGTCATGAGGTAGTTAATTTCTTAATTTTATGCCAATGTAAGGTTCCCTACTAACATTTATGTGTTCTCTATACTTTGCTATGAATGATTTTTTTTTGTTTCATTTGTATTTTAAGAACAAATTTTTTATGAGGGCTCTGAGTTTGTGTCAACCTCATATGGTCTTATATATTGCTTCCCCTGTTTGTGTGCTGTATTTTTGCTTAATAAATTGGAGGCCTGTTGTCCAGGTCTTTTCTACATATACAAATTTGGGCATGAGTATTTTCTGAAGTAGAATGTTGTAGGCTACACGCTTTAGTATTGTTTCTGCTAGTAGCTTGGCTGTTCCGTTACATTCCAAAAACATGCAGGTTCATGCTGCTTTCTGTGGGCGCTTGTCAAATGAGTCAAACAGTTTATCTCATTGTTTATGAAGGTATGCATTTGCTGAAGTGGGCTGTTCTTGGCTTTTGGTAAAAGCTATTTTCCAATGGAACCATGAGCTGAAAGTTTTATTATAGGAACTTTCTTGTGAATTTCAAGGTTATGTTAATTTTAAGCTCTCCTAATGTTATCCTTTTGGGGGGTGGGGTGGATTTTTGGTACCCTTTCTTTTTTCTTTCTTTTTTTTCTTCTCTCTCCTTTTCTACAAGTGCTCGGTTAGGTAGTCAATGCAACCAGGTATTGCTGAGATGGATAGCATCACTGTGCTCCTTGAATCCAAGTATGTCAAGATTTGCTAGGGTTATGTTCTTTAATTTACAGAGAATATGAAATGCTATTTTCTAACAGGTAATTCATTCTCTTCAAAGAATTAAATTTACTCATTAATCTGTATTGGCGCAAAAAAAGATTGCACAGCGTATTAGTTTGCCAGATTTTGGAGTATCTTGGAACCAAGTCAAATTGGCTTACTTTAAACAGATTCAAATTGGTAGGTTAACTGAAGTAGTTCGTTCATTGCCCCCTTGTGTATGCTTTCAGTCAAATTTCCATAAATTGTTTCAACAATTGTGGCTTTTCTATGCTTAGTAGTTCTTAGTCCTCCAGCCTAATCTAACCTTGAGTAAATTTTCTTCCTAGCAAATTTCCATTAGTTCTTTTTCTAGATTTGAATTTTCAGCCAGCACCATATATCTATTGTTCTCTTGCCTCTTCTAAATGTGCTGTCCTATTGAAATTTCTCTGCTGTTTTATTGAATGCCCCCGCCCCTCCCCCCCACAGTTTTTTACCCCACCACTTGTCTTTTTTTTTCTTGATAAAAATTTCATGTACGTTCAAAATTTTAACATCCTTGGGTGTTGTTTTTTTTTGTCCAAAAAATAAAGCATAATGTGATATATCATCTTTTGGTGCCGAGGTTCACATTGTGTGTTAGAGTCACTTTGATATTTTAACCTATAAAAATAGCTCAATTAAATTCTTTGTTATGTACCCCACAAAAAATAGTTCCTTTAACTTTTATTTTTCTTCTTCTTTTTGTCCTACCTATTGCTTTGCACATGCACTCTCTTAATACAATGACTTCAAATCAATCTGATTTCAATCAATGATTCCAAAACGGTTCCAATACAATTATCTAAATCAATTTTTTCCACATTATTTAAAATCTAAATTTATCTCTACAAATTCCAACCAATCTATATTTTGACACTCAAATTCCAACCAATCCATGCCCTTATGACTAGTCGTCCTTCACACTCTCCTAAGACTGTGGAGAGTATTAATAAAACTAATACCTATTAGACAAGTCAAGTGGAAAAAAATAGTAGAAGAAAGAAAAATTGGACGTGGGATGAAGAATCATGTTTGGTTAGTGCTTGGTTGAATACCCCCTTTACCATGTTACAAACACGAATCAAAATCGTATTTTCCTTTACATCAGAAATGGAGCATACATTGTTGAAGCTATGCTGCATCTGTCATCTCACACAACAAAAGCGATTTTATAAACGGTTTGAGCTCTTTAGTTCATCGATGAATGCAGGGGTTCTTGCTAGGAGCGGGTGAAGAAACTAAAAAAAAAAATTACAATGTGGTTTGAATAAGACGGATATTCACTATTATGCATGTCAAATTTTTGAGTCCAAATATAAGGGTGGCGTAGTAAATAGTACTACAAAAAACATTGGAAAAGGGTTCTTTGTGACAACCCAAAATGAGACTAACGCCAACAATTAAACTCCACCAACGATGTTACTAGGAGAAGTAGAATAAATATTGAAGGAGCATATTCGACATCCGCAACTGGAGAAAACACCCAACAAATAGAAACTCGTATAGATTTAGCATATGAAATATGTCATGAATTTTGAATATGCCACATTTATCTAATCCATCTCCCATCCAACAAGTAAAAAGAAAAGTTGTTTAGAGAATGACAAGATTCATATCACATAGATGTAAAACGAGCATTTGGGGTGTTACACGCACGATTCGCTATTATACATCAAAGTGATATCATGAATATAATGAGGGTTGAAGACGAGCGAGACACTTAAAATTATTAACATACCTACATAACTAATTTTGGGAGAACCTATTTTGTCAAGTTATGAGAACTATGTACAAAATTACACTCAACACTCTCGGACTTTGAAGTAGAGCAACTCGTCTAGAATTGCAATGGAAAATTGATCGAGCACATGTGATGTTCCAATAACAATGCATATTATTGTTTAAATTAAGGTTAATTATTAAGTATTTACACAAGTTATTTTAATTAATGTATTCTTGTTCTCAATTAATGGAATTGAAAATTTCTACTTAGTAAAGTTATTCTATAGATAATTTTTTTTAAAAGCTACCCATTTAGTTATAAAAAAAATTTAGTCACTCCGTAAATTTTATATATTAATTAATAAAGCATAATTTTATTTCCTATCAATTTTTAAATAAAAAGAACTGTATAATATAAACATTTAGGAGTCCTTGTTGAGTTTTGGAGGCACGATAAAATATATATTTTAAAATTTGGGAGAGATGATATGAATTTTGAAATCTGAAATGAAGTTGTTTGGAGAGATTTAAAATCATAATTTAATACTCCTGGAGTAAGTGAAAGGCGAGGGTGACCGACTACGGAGGTGGTTGGCGGTAACAATAGTAGTCGCTGACAGAAAATGGTCAACGGTTTAGAGAGATATTAAATCCCCATATTGATACCTCTTAATATTGAAGTGTTATCGAAAGCCTCCATTTGGATGATTTATGATATCTTCAAATATCAAAGTCGATATCTCTTTTGGCTTCAAGGAACACAAAATAAATTTAATATATGAAGATATCAAATTCATATATTGTTTGTTCACCAAATACACCTTTAATAAAAAAAAATCATGTAAGCCATATAATGAAAGTGTTTTAGCAGTCAACTTAAGTCGTTTGGGCTATACGCAGAGCCTCACTGCTAGTCTACTACCCACTCCAAATCAGAAGCCATTCATCGTCACATCTGCATTGAGTGCACTCATAATTTCACTCACTTCACACCTGTAGCATATCACTTTATTGTAAATATTTAAAAAATAATAATGGTTTGTTATATTTTTTTTATAAAAAACATAAAATAGTTAAATTTTAATACAAAAAAATAAGGAAGACATAAAGTCAAAATTATATACTCCGTATGTAATATTTTTGAATTGTCGTTGGATAGACCATGTGAAAATATTTTTGATGACTTATTATTTATCAATAAATGACTTACATAGAAAAATTGATGATCAAAATAGACGTTCAAGTATAAAAAAATAGAAAAATGCTAGGGGTACACCAAAGGTGTACCCCATTTGTCCCCCACCCCCTCCATTACCACAAAAATGGGCAAGAAATTAAAACAAAATTAAATAAATAAAAATGGGGTTAAAATGAGTGGTAGAGAAAGGGTGGGGGACAAATGGGGTACACCAAAGGTGTACCCCTAGCATGGCTCAAAAAAATAAATAGAACGATTTTAGGGAGATGCTAGGGGTACACCATTTGTACACCACCCCCTCCATAACCGCTCATTTATTTTTTATTTTTATTAACTTAATTTTTTTAAATTTCTTACCTATTTAAGTGGTAATGGAGGGGGTAGGGGACAAATGGGGTACACCAACCTGTACCCTAGTGGGTGTGGCCACACTACTCAATCACACCACTCATTCAAGAATAAAATGTAAATTATTAAAATCCAAGAGTCAATACATAGTGTACATCCATAAGGTAAACATACAATGCATGGGGGCATACCCCTGTAAATCAAAGACAAGTCATGTCAAGCAAAAGAAAATAGCATAAGCTAGCACAATACAATAGGAAACGTAGATGGTTCACCCTTCTGGTCTCCCTTAGTGTTTTGTGTTGTAAGCGGCTAGTTCCTTGTGCACGTTATGTTTGTCCGCAATCTTTTTGTTTTCCCCATCATAGAGCGCCTTTTTTGCATTCCAAAGCCGCATGTAATCGGGGCTGTCAGAATTGGGAGGCTTCAACGCTTTGAACGGCGGTTTCCATGCCTTGGGTGGTTCTTTACCCGACGGTTCACCCTTGCTTTCCCCCTTTTGCTTAGCCTTCGGAACTGGCACTTTAGACGCTGCCAAAGGCGTGGGAGTGGCTGCTATTTGGGCTCCGTCATCTCCAAGCACAGCCCCCTGATTTGTCATGAGAGGCTCTTCAAAACTGGTGGTCTGGGCTACTGCTTTAGGCACGGCAGTAGGTGTGCCCTGACCTTTCTTTTTCCGGCTGGTTTTAGGGCCCCCCTCTGCCCCAACTGTCACGGGAGTGGCAGTGGGTTTAGTGGGGCCTGTCTCCTTACCAACCATACTGATCTCGCCATCAAGATCTGCCCGTTCCAGGGGAGGAGAAGTGGTTACTGCCGCTGGTTTTGGCAGGACAGTAGCACTGTCAACGGCCTCACTGTCATCACCAGTTTTGAGCTTGCGCTTTGGCCGACTTCTCCGGGCTGTTTTGGAGGTTCTTCCACTTGTTGAACCAGCTATGGGATGAGCATGTTCAGTGGTTTTATCCCCTTTACAGCCCTGGTATTCCCTCTTAGTGTGCCTGGCAGATTTGTCAACAAAAGTTCCATTCACACCACTCATTCAAGTAGGGGAAGAGGGTGTTCATAGTGATCACGTGCTGAGGTGATAAAGCAGAGGATCACCTCTCTTCTGCTGTGAGGTGGTCTTCGGTGGTATTTATGGTATACATCCAGATATATGATATTTATCCTACATTTGCGTGAATACTCATTTTTTATTAACTTAATATGGAGTACTTATTTTCGAATAAAAATAGTCATTTTTATGTATAACCGAACTTTAGAAAAATAAGAATCTAGTTGCTTAAAATTGAATATTTAATTATACATAAATGTATACTCAATGCTGATGTCCTAAAATAGGGTTGTACCCTATATATTGTACTCCATCCGTCTTTAAAAGATTGTCACCGTTTAATTTTTTTGGTCAAACTGCGTCACCTTTGGCCACGAATTAACCTAAATTTAAAATAATAGAATATTATAAAAATTTGATATTTCAAAATTATATTTTAAAATAAACACAATTTTGCAATATTTACATTATAACTAAATATACTTTTTCTATAATGTACGGTTAAAGAGTGGCATAGTTTGACCAGAAAATTCAAACTGTTGCAATCTTTTTGGAACATGAGTACAATGTACTCCATTTTGTTAACAAAGGAGCACATTCTTTTACTATACCGTCTATACAAGAGTAATGTTAGAGTCACAAACTACTGGGACACAAATTACACAAACTTCTTATTTTTGTACTTTTCCAATTGAATAAAGTGATATTAAATGCTTACAAAATGAAAATTGAGATACATAAATAGCAAGTTTGTGTAATTTGTATCCTAGTAGTTTGTGATTCTAGCATTACTCTCTATACAATGACAAAGGGAAAAAAATGAATAGTACATTTTTCCCGCCCAAACATGACAGGGTGTGGATTGGCGATGGGCAAAGTCCCAATAGCAATGGGCATAGCAAGGGTGACTTTATTGGAAAAAGTGAGATGTGACATTGGTTGTTTAAAAAGGAAAATTTTTCTTTTAAATACGATCAGTCTCATCTTCTTTCTCATTGAATAATCAAAACATTATTTTTGAATATTTCTCTCACCTTATCTTAACAAAAATGGTTGGACCATGCTACACTTACACCAACAAATATACCCCATTTGTACGCCACAGGTTTGCACAAACATTTCGATGGTTTACACCGACACAGGTGTTGGTGCGTTAATAAAAATTCACACGGACACAAATGTTGGTGCGTTTAACAAAAATGGACCATACTTTAAAGACAAAGCTTGCGGATGTTGAGAGGGACCATACTGCAGTTGCCATTCACGCCCGAGCCGTTCGTGTCTATGAAACTGCTCCGTTTGATAGAACTGGAGAATCGATGGAGGTCGTCTACCACGACGATTAGGTGTCCTTTTTTCTTAATGATACATTCTTGGAAAATCATTTTATTTCACAAACTTTTTTATTAAATCATGTTTGCTTCTATTTCATGTTACAATTATCATTTTTATTTCATAAACTTTTTTTTTGATACACGATAACACACACTTTGGTGAAGAATAATACGGAATAATCTCATCAAGAACATACACCGTTAAATTATTGATATTTTTAAACACAATTACAGTCCATGAATGAGACTCATGCTCAATTTTTTCTGACGTCTATTCTCAGTATATTACAGGGTATGAGATTCATTGTCAACCCAAGAAACCTTACAATGAGCACAATAAAGTGAGACTATTGAGGGAGGTGTTGGCTAAGTACAAAACTTGGTGCTACGTATGGCTTGCCTCTGTCTAATATTTTCTATTTTGTATAATTTGCACTCTAAGAGTTTGGGTATCATTACTTAAACTAATATTTTTCAATTGTGGTTTAATCCTATGTTGGCTAAGTATTACTTCCTCCGTCCCAAAAGGTCTTTCTTGTTTCATTTTTTGCGCATTCCATAAAACACTTCTATCCCGCCTTGAATGCCAAAAAAACTCTCAAAATAACTTCTACCCACAATAAAGAAGAAAATGTTGTAAATTTTAGACATTTTAGATGTCGGTAGAAATGTTTTATGGGATGCGCAAAAAATAAAACAGGAAAGACTTTTTGGGACGGAGGGAGTATGTTATTATCCTTTCTTTTAATCATTTGTAAAATGTTGTCATGAAATTTTCTTAGGTAGTGTTTGGCAACTAGTATTTCATTTCAATTCATGCATTTCAATTCCAAAATTTGAAATCCTGAATTTTAAATGACAAGGGGAGGTGTATGGATTTCAAATTAAGCTATGTTTTGAATGTAAAGAATTTGATTCAAATCCAAATTCAAAATGCTTAAGTTTTCCAAACGTGGAATTTAAGCCAAATCCGGATTTGAAATCCAAATTCATGTTCCCAAACATACCATTATATTATTATAATTCTATGGGGAATTGATAAATGCACTCCATTATTGTTAAATGCACTCCACTATTTTGTATTTTTGTTCGAGTAGACATATATTACCCTTGTGTGAATTGAATTTTTTTTGTACAAAGGATGTCTTTTTAATTAATTTTGATTCAACCTATTTAGAATCCTTGAAATTAAAGCCCAAATTTTAAGATATATCATACAACAGAGTATTTTTATTTTTTGGTCTTAGAATTATAGTTTCCCTTCGAAGAATAATTAAAATTCTATCTCTTTTAAAATGGTTTTATTTACAAATGAGTCTAAAAATAAAAAAAATTATTATATATTTCAAAAATATTTTAAGAGTTTTAACGCAATAAATATTACAAGAATATTTTATTTTATCAAACAATCAATGAAAATATGCAAATAAAAAAAATCAAGAGATTAAAATAGTAATTGAGACGTCAGATGGAGTATTAAATGAACTTTGTAAATGAGGAGTATTTTATTTGTCATACCCTTCTTGAAATGTAAAGATTTGAAACGTCAAAAAATTATCGTTATCTAAAACATGATTACTTTTTTTAACTGAGGGAGTACCTGGTAAGTTTTTACTTTTTATATTTTAAAAAGATTTTTTTTGTAACTGAGAGAATTGTGTCATTTCCCAATCCAAAAGAAAAAAATGGTGAATTTCACAAAATTGGATTATTAAATTTATCAATGGACAAAAATTATATTCTTTCGTCTAACAATAAATTTCCTAGTTAATATTACGATCTCTCAATAACTTATTTCTATTTGTATAATTTCATCAATCATTTAATAATATAAAATACTCTGATCACATTTTGCTTTTTAGAACTTTTGATGTAATTTAGAACAATATAATTTGTATTTTTTCCTGATATACCAATTTTTTTGAAAGAGTGATATAACAATTTTTTATTAAAATTATTTTAAAAAATATGAAATTTTTATAAAATGGAAAATTTATTTTTGAAATATATAATTGAAATATTTAAAGAGTGAATGATACTTTAATTTGAGAAAACAAATAAATGGGTCGAACTAAAAAAAGATATAGAGTATAAGTTACTAAAATTCAATTGAGTAGGGGCAAACTGGTATACTCCAACAAAAATGTAAAAAGGTGGAGTGCATTTAACAAGAGTGGAGTGTATTTATCAATTGCCAATTCTATGTTGCTTAACTAATAAATATAATGTGTCAGAAAATGTATTTTTAATTTTAAAGAAAAATGATACACACAGAATTAAATAGTCAAACACTTATATATAATTTTCTCTAAAACATCAATAACATATATTTAATTTTGTTTAGAGAAGAGGAAAATTGATGGCCAGAGCATTAAAGTTGATACATATAACGATGTAAGAAACAAAAAAATTTAAAATGGATTCTTAATTTTTTGTAGATGTTTAATTTTATTTTTATCCCATTATTCGAACAAAACAAACTCTAAAAATTAATTTTACGAATGCCAAGACATACATACATTGAGCCACAAATCAATTAAGTATTTTATTGGGTATTACAAAAGCAACTCCTTGATTACTGTGTATTTGCAATGGAAGTATATTTCCATTTAAAATACCGTACTATTCAAATTGGGAGTGTAGATTTATATCAATTTTTTAGGCTCAAGAAGGTAGAAGTCACGTCAAATTAATAACGGCGAATACATTCATCTAATGCCCTTGAGAATTGGTATATATAGAGTCGCGGACCAAATTAAATGCATAAGTTAGCTCTCATATCTCTAGGTTTGATTGTTGTGGTCGGTGCAGGCTATTAATGTATTTCAATTTATTATTACGTAGAGCCAAGAAGTATTGATTAAACGCAGTAAGTTTAAAAGATAAATTGTCATACATAGAGCCACGAACCGATTCATGTGTAATAAATATTGGGAGGCAAATAATTTTTGGAGCATAATAATTAAATCAAAATTTGGGAGGCTAAGGTAACTCTACGGAGGTATATTAAGTTCTAATACATTTAACGTATTCCCTTGAAAAGTGTTATCTAGAGTCGTGAACCTAATTAAAGCCACGAACCTAGAGATGTGTAATAAATATTGGGAGGCGAAAATTTTGGTAGGCTCAAGGTAAACTGTAGAGTGGTCTATTAATGTCTAATAGAGTCGCGAACTTCTGAAGCAATATTTTAAGTCATATCTCTAGTTAGATTATACTGATCAACGTGCATCCTTTAATGTTGATTTCAATTTATTATTATTACCTAGAGTCAATAAATATTGATTACCACAATAGGTTTAAAGTAAGAATGATCATACATAAAGCCATGAATTGAACCTAGAGATGTGTAATGAACATTAGGAGGCCAATAATTTTAGGAGCTAAAATATTTAATCAAAATTTCGTATGCTCAAGGTAAATGTATGGTGATTAAAAGTTTTTTTGAAAGAAATAAGATGGATAAATTAAATATTTTAATTTATTACTCCCTCCGTCCACAAATAAACTTTACGTTCACTATTCACAGAGTAAAACTTTATTCACTTTATTGGCCTATTTTCGTCACCCATTTGATAAAATAATATAGTCATGTCACCTCTAGTTTTGTAGATCTTTTGATATAGTTTTTTAATATGTAATTTTTATTTTTCAATTGTACACCATTTTTCATATAAAATGATTTGAAAATAACTTCAGTCAAACATCGTAACGCGCAACGTAAAGTTTATTTGTGGACGGAGGGAGTATATATTATTGTATTTAGTCATTCAAATACTTTTTGCAGGGGAAAGTAGACTTAAATATTGATAGAGGAAATAAATCACATTGCATTTAATAAAGGCATTCATTAACATCCCATTTATGGGCTTGAGATTATTGGGAAGAGAAATAATTAATCTCTCAATGGCCAACTCACTAGTGCATTTAATATTGTTTAAATAGAGTCTTAGGATCGAAAAACCAACAACCACATCCTTTCATTAGTCCAAATATATTGAGTATTTACTCTTCCATACCTACCCAGTTTACTTACTCTTCCACATCTATCCACCTCACTTTCTTCTCTAAGACTTATTCAACAGTGAATCATTGAAGAAACTTAGTCACGAAATATATATTTCAACAACCAACATTGGAAACTTATTTACTCTTGGGTATCGTAAATATGCATTCTACTATTCCTCAAAAAGATAATTATGTGTAGACTCCAATTATTTGTTAACCATTTTTTTGATAAACAAGTACTCTTCAATGAACAACTATTTTAAAATGGACTAAACCAAACAATACCTTTTAATCAATTACTCTTTATGTTAAGCAAGACTTATTTTTAATAATATTAGGTTGTTATTGTTAAAATTGCTTAGGAGAATTTTCACGTGATTTGAAGTTTGAGGAAACTAATTACAAGTGCAAGATTGAACTCTAAGAGGCATTTAGACAATGATATTGACAAAGCTATGCATCCTCCCATATACCACTATTGATTATAAATGTATTTTTAACAATGTATGTAGGAATTCGATTCAAACTTTAAGTTAAATTTATAACATGTAAGATTTTAAACTGGCATGAAAAAAATCTTTACGAGTGCTGTAATTTTAAAAACAAGAAAAATAACCTTTATGATTTGTCTTATTCAAAAAGTTTAGTGCATGGGCATTCAAGTGTTCTTTTTTATTGAATGCTTTTCAATTTATTCAATAATCTTTATATATAAAATTTGAGAGTTAGAATTCTAGAATTGTGACATGTGGCGTGCTTATTTAGCAATTTTTTGACATGTCAGCATGCCATGTAATCAAGTTATATTTAAAGAATTAGTTAACAAATAAATTTATTCTATAAATTAAATTTCGTATTTGTTACGCATAAATTTCTTAGCAATATCACGTTTAAAAACTTTTATATCTTAATTCATTGTTGGAAAATATTTAAATTAAATAATATATTTTGAAATTGAAAGAAGAACTCATATTCAAAAATAATAATCAAAACAAATAAATTTATTCTAAGAACGGATAGATTGGTAGGACTAAAAGAAATTACATGTGAATATTTGTTTTTACTTTGAATGAATACTAATTGGAGAGATTTTCCATTTTTTAAAAACAAAAATAAATATATAAAGGAAAAGGGATTTTTATGGGCATGTTTATTTAATAGAGTAATAATTTTATTCTGTATATATTAAAAAAAATTTAAATCAAATAACAAGTATGTTCCATTTTAGAATTAGTATTTTCCATTTTTAAATTATTATTTTCTATTACAAACTTTGTAAAAATTTATAGATGTGTACCACAAATTTACTATTTTCAATTAATAATTTTTAAAATGATGAAGACTAAG